GACAGTCTCTGGCAAGTCAATTGGATGTGTAGTCAGTACTCTGTATCCGTAGGTTTCACACCCGTGGATTCTACCAATCACAAAATTGGGGAGGGGGAATTGCATCTATATTTAAAAATGTACAGATTTTTTTTTTGTCATTGATCCCTAAACAATAAAGTATAGCAACGATTTACACAGGATCTACATTGCATTAGGGATTATGAGTGGTCGAGAGAGGATCTAGGAAGTGCAAAAGGGCTATGCAGATACTCTGCCATTTTATATACAGAACATGAGCTGCTGTGGATTTGGGTGGCCAGAGTGGGACCTGGAACCAATCCTCCTTGGATTCCAAAGGACAGTGATACTTATTAAACTTTAAAATCCACGTGCCTGCCAACCCAGCAATTCCACTTCTCAAAATCCACCCTGGATACAGGTGCACACAAATGCACGTGAAACAGTAATTCTGCACCCCAGCTACACAGCAGAATCACCTGGGGGGCTTTTTAAAAATTCTGAAGCCCAGAGCCCACCCTAGGGGAAATTTTATTAGAATCTCCCGTGATAGGACCGGGCACCAGCAGGTTTTAGGCTCACCAAGGCATTCTAACGTGCAGCCTGTGTTATGAGACATAGATACGCAATAAGTTCACGGCAGCTTGGTTTGAAATAAGGGAAACCTTGAAACAATCTAAATGTCCATTTGTGGGAAGTTTACATAAGTAGCAGCTTATTCTCAGGATGGGATACTACCCTGCATTTAAACATGAAAACATCTGTCCTACTCTAACCTTACAAGGCCTTGCACGATCATTTGCTGCCTCTCTGTCTCATCTTCCTACACTCTCCCCATCATGCCATAGTGGATTCTTCTGTTGGAGGAGTGCAAATATGTTCCTGCCCCAGGGTCTTTGCACTTGCTCTTGCCTCAGCCTGAAACTCTCTTTATTCTTATCCATGCAGCACATACCATCTCTTCCTCAGATGCATGCTCAGCTATTACCTTAGCTTTATCCAATTTTACTTTTCTTCCTAACATTTACCACTCCCTGGTTCCCCATACTGGGATGAGAAACCCAGGAATGTTTTCATTTCTGTCATTTCCCATAATAATAGACCACAGCCCTTAAGGATGCCTGCTTTGAAGCTAGAGCGCTAGAGTTTCAATCCAGGGTCCTTGGGCACGTCTTTTAACCCATCTGTGCCTCAGTTTTCTCTTGCATAAAATGGGGACAATAACAGTACCTACCTTCTGGAGCTGGAAAGATTCAATTGCATAAATCAGTGTCTGACGCTCTCTACTGTGTGATTGTCAGGTATTAAAAGGGTCAGTGGGGGCTGGGGTTGTGATCCAGTGGGAGAACATGAGGCCATGGGTGTGATCTTCAGCACCACATAAAAATAAAGGTACTGTGTCCACCTACTACTAATATATATATATATTTTAATTTAATACATTATATTAATAATATATTATATTATTTAATATATTTATATTATTTAATATATTATATTTATATCATTTAATATATTATATTATATTAATAATATAATATATTATTTAATTTTTAAATATATATATATATTTAAAAAAGAATCACCAGTACTGAAAGTGATGCCCATCGTGTAATTGTTCATCGAATAAATTAACAAGTAAACAAAAAAAAATTGCAGAAAAGCATACAGTAAGCCCTCCATCTCTGTGGGCTCTGCATCTGACTGTTCAACCAACAGCAGGGGAAACAAATTACTTTTTAAATTGCATCTGTACTGAACATGCATAGACTTTTTTCTTGTTATTATTCCCTAAACAAAACAGTGTAACAACTACTTACGCGGCAGTTACATTGTACTAGATAGTATGAGTAACCCGCAAATGATTGAAAGTATGTTAGGACGTTCCATTTTCTATCAAAGACTTGAGCATCTGTGGATTTTTATGTCCTTGGGAGCCTGGAACCAACCCTCCATGGATACTGAGGGACAACTGTATACAGCATGAGCCCATTAAGTAAACACACACACACACACACACACACACACACACACACAATGAATATATAATTTCCAACTGCATATTTATGGATTTAAATGCAGAGGGAAAAAAATGGCTGAAGAGACCCCCAGAAGTTCTAGCAGCAGCACTCTCGGTTGGAAAGGAGAATGGGATTCAGACATGCTGGAGGCATTTGGTGGCATCTGTGTCATTCAGCTTTTTCCATGTGCCACGTGGACCATAAAACAGGCTTTCCAAATGTTAAATATTTCTCAAAAGGAATCCTCTGCTCAGGGTCCAAAGCACGCAGACCTGCTTGTCCTTCTCAGCATCTGTTTACCCAGACGAATCTCCCTTAAGTAAGGCAGACGGCAAGCCAAGGAAGCCGGCCACCGAGGCTCGGGCGCTGTGGGTCTGCCTGTCTGTCTGTGTCTCACTGTCTGTCTGTACCTCACAGCTCCTGAGAAGCCTGCTGCAGCCGCCAGCGTGGAGGATGGTCCTCATCTGCACACCCCCCTTCCCCAAAGAAACTGAGGGATGGATCCCCGACTTTGGACTGTGAGATCCCTTCCTCCAGGACTCTCCAGAGGCAGGTCCCTGGCCAACCAACAGCAAAAGTCCAAGATTCAGCAACCCAAGCAGCACGGCCACATCAGCCAATGTCCCCGATTAGTTTAAAAAGAAGAGGAAGAAGAAGAAAAGAAGGCTCCCATTCTGAGTGGAGCCCAGCTCTGTGTCCATGCCTCCTCCCTCGAGATGATCTCCAGACATCTCTTTTCACAGGGTGGGGAGGTCTGAACTGGGGGGGAGTAGGAAATTTCCAGAAAGCGCGGTGGATGCTGGGGCCTCTGCGGCATGTTTAAAGTTGTCTAATGCAGTTGGATATGTGTGTGTGTGTTTGTTCTTTCATTTTTTTTAGAGGTGGCAGGCAAGCTCTTTGGTTTTCCTGAATGCCACCCAGCTCTGCCACCCCCTCGTATTTCTTTTCTGTCCGCAAACCCCGAAGGTGGGAATGCGCTGGCTTTGTTTTGTTTATCTATTTATTTATTTTGAGACAGGGTCTCACTGAGTCGCTGAGGGCCCCATAAGTTGCTGAGGCTGGCTCTGAACTTGCGATCCTCCAGCCTCAGCCTCCCGAGTCGCTGGGATGACAGGCGTGTGCCCCGCGCCCAGCTTGGACTGGCTTTGTGACACCATGATTCTGCCTGTTGGAACACGCTAACGGTGTCTTGCAGAGAGAAGGCGCCCAGGCTGGTTTCCAAGCAGTTGATAGACATACTGTTAAGTGACATTGCACCACAGAGAATGTTTCCCCTTTTCTCTTCTTTCTCAATCCCGATTCAGCCAGGAGCAAGTCTCCATTTTGTGCCAGTGGGTCCTTGACACCTTCCTGACCCTATGGTTCTTTGTGCTTTTTAACAAAGAAGGAGCTGCCCTTGGGGTTCGGTCTGCTGTCTAGATGGAACTCAATGGTATTCTTTTATTTTCATGTTATATATTTTATTTACTTCCTTCCATTTGTGGCTCTGCAGAGATGGATGTGTTATGTCATTTCTGTTCAAATAAATTCATATCTATAGATATGTGGCAAATTTCAAAAACGAACATTAGAAATACAGTGATAATGAGTTTTCCAGAGCAGAAGAAAAAGCAGTGAATTTTCATGGAAAGAATAAGAAACTAAAAGTCAAACTATATCTGTTCCAGTGCCTTTTTTTTTTTTTCTTGGCACTAACTAGCTATGCAAGCTGATGTCAGGCAAGTTTCTGGGGTTCTCTCTGCCTCCAGTTTCTTCCTCTGGAAAATGCAGATAAGAACACCTGCCTACTTACCTCACTGTGTTATGAAAATTAATTGTCACAATAGGTCTGTTCCCCGGGGAAAATGCTAAGAGTTTTACCAATACAAGTCGTGATTCTTAGACGACTGTGAATCTCAGGCATTGGCTAAGATACTGAGCCGTGGCTAAATAAATAAATAAATAAAAGTGAATGGACACCCGTTTCTACCCGCCATCCCACCCACATGCCCATTATGAGCCAGCTCTGGTCCCCGGAGGTCGCTGGGACACGGGTTCTCGGCACACAGGGACGCGCCATTCCAGGAGATCGGATCCTCGTTTCTGTCTATAATATCTGGTTGTTTGTTTGTATGTGTTCGGGTCCCTGGTCTTTTCCTCAAATTCAATGAAAAGTGTTGCTGAGGGGCAGAATAAAAAACGGTTTTAAGTAAAGCGTGTTTATCACAGTGAGTGAATTGGGTTTCCTTGGGGGCTCCCGTCCTTCTGGAGATTTCCAGAACCAAAATGTGGCTCTCCCACCACAGTGTCCTTCCATAGAGAAGGCCACAGAGAGGCCAAGGGATGGGGGCTGAACGGGGCATCCGTGCTCAGATAACCCTAGGGCATAAAATGGCCCTGGGGTCCATATATTTACTGGTACATGATAGTTGTACATCATGGTGGGATTTGTTACATATTCATACATGCACACAATATGATGCATTGTGCTTTGGCCAGTTCACTCCCAGCCTTTCCTTTTCCCCTCCCCTCCTCCCTCCCCCCATCCCTTTCCTCTGTTTTACTGATTTCCTTGGATCTTCATGAGACACCCCCRCCCCCACCTTTCATTTCCTTCCTCCTCTCTAGCTTCCACCTAAGAGAGAAAAACCCATGACCCTTGACCTTCTGAGTTTGGCTTATTCCCCTTAACATAACGGTCTCAGGTTCCATCCAATTTTTCTGCAAATGTCATCATTTCATTTTTCTTTATGGCTGAATAAAACTCCATTGTGTGTATATAGACCAGATGTATTTGATCCATTCATTGGTTGATGGACACCTAGGCTGACTCCATAGTTCGGCGATTGTGAATCGTGCTGCTGCGAACTGGGGTGTGCGGGGATTGCTCTAGTATGCCGACTTTCATTCTTCGGGCTAAATACCAAGGAGTGGGATAGCATATATACATGGTTGTAGATGGACACAATACCATCTTTATTTATTTATTTTTGTGTGATGCTGAGGAACAAACCCAGTGCCTCACATGTGCTAGGCAAGTGGCTCTAACACTGAGCTACAGCCCCAGCCTGAGTTTACTGTTTACATAAACTGAAAATTCTGGGAGAATAGCTTCAGGTATGGCTAATCTGGGGGCTCACTGTTAATAACAGCTCTTCCCAGTGCAATTCTCAGTCCCAGCCTAATGAGTTGGTTTGGGTTTCACGGTGACGAGATGGCTGCCCATAGAGTTGAACTTCTTCCTACCCACTTAGGAGCACCTGTGGAAATAAAACATTCCTTTAGTAACTACAGGAAGAAAAATCTGGTTTCATCCAAAATATTGCACAATCCATCTGAGATAGGACACAGCCATGTGGTCCCCATGCCAATACAAATTGCTGCTGTGGCCAGGGGTACTCAGCACCCTATGTGTCCACTCCCATGGACAGTGGTCAAGCCCTGGAGCTGAGTGCAAGGCTAGCCCGATGCAATCTTTACGGATGGAAGGTGTGGGCAGGGTGGTTTCCCAGAAGAGAACCAAGGTGCTTTTTACCAGAAGGAAGGACAGATCCTGGCAGAAAAACAACCACTGTCCACATGAACCATTCTGCACCCAATTACGCCTTCTACCCACAGGACTCTAGGGATCTAGTGGCTTTTCCATGTCCCTCTTGTGTTATCACTGTCCTCTCCTTCCTCCTCTGACCAACATTTGTGGGGCAGCTGCTCAGTCACAGAAGCTGGGGGAGGCTTTGGAAATTTCAGTACCACGAAGAGGGACCCCTGGAGAGGCTGCCCATGGTCTAAAGAGGGGGAACAGGCACACACACACACACCATCTGAAGGCCACACCAAAATGACAGGACAGGATGACCAGAGTACCACACAGTCACTTTGCAAGACAGAGCACCAGCAGTAGATGAGGGGAGGGAAGGTTCAGGAAACAAATGCCCATCTCACTGCCATTGGCATCCCCAGGCTCGGAGAGCTGCAGCTCTTGAGGCTGCCCCGTCTCTGCCCACAAGTTACGGGCAGAAGCAGATGCAGACATAAAATCGCTGGCCTCAGCTCCTGGATCAGCAAATTATCTTTGGCCTACAGGAAGACAGCTGCATTCAGCAGAACGGCACCACGCATGAATCTTGATACGTAACCCTAGATCCAGGCTTCTAAATATAAAAGACAGTTTAGGGCCACCAGTTACCTCCCCCACCCCCTGGGGAAAAAAAAGAAAAGAAAAAGAAAGAAAGAAAAATCTTCTAAAATAGCATCCACATTTGTCAAGTTACCACCAACCCTTAAAAAATACTCACGGACATGGAATATTTGAGCCTGGGGATTATCCTTGGAATCAGATCCCTGAACCCAGACATTTTTTAATGTTGGTTTTGAAATAAATCCCTTAACAGGCAAATACGCTGCTCAGGCATCACCCCTCATCACTGGAGAAGCCTCAGAAAGAAGGAATTCTCTTTGCAATAGATGGATCGGTTGCAGCAGAGAGTCATTATCAGAGGTCGGAAGAGGGATGTTGGAAGTTCCCTCTCTGCGATGCTGCAGTCATCTGAGGTACCCGCTCCTGTCCTCGGGGGAGCGCCCAGCAGGTCGGCAGGACCCAGGACAAAATGTTCACCTCTTCCTGCCTAAGTGCCGACTTGCCCAGGTCTCACCCACACACCGGTCCACTGGCAAGCACTGCTTTTTGTTCCCAAGCTGTCATCTCCTGACACTGCCACCACGTGTTCATATCTGCCTCCTCCCTGAAGGTGACATGGAATCCCATGAATGGGAACCGGTTGTGCTTTGGAGTGAAGTATTGGGGGGAACGCATTAGAAGTCCAGTCCTGCCTACAGGGAGGTAATAAACAGCCTGGTGAACGGCATGAAAGAGAAGCCATATGTCTTGAACCATTACCAAAGCTTATCTAAACTCTGACAGTAGCCTCCTACTCGGGCTCCTGTGTCTTCGAATCAGATTGATGGTGTTACGAATATTACAGAATGACTTAGCTCAAATTTATTATCTTACAGTTCTGGAGGTCAGAAGTTTCAAGTGGATCTCCATGGGCCAAAATCAAGATGGTGGCAGGGCTGGAGTCCTTTCTGGAGGCTCTCTGGGAGAGTACCCTTTCTTACCTTTTCTACCTTCTAGAGACTGCCTGCATTCCATGGCTCATGACCCCCTTCCATCTTCAAGGTCAGCAATGGCCACTTAGCTGTCACACCACACCTCTCTTGTTCTGACACCTTTCTCTCCCACTTCCTTATTTAAAGACCCCTGATATGACACTGGGCCCATCTTGGATAACCCAGCATGATCTCCATATATTAGGGTCTGCTCATTAGCCATCTGAATTCCATCTGTTCCCTTAATTCTCTCTTGCTACGTAACCTAGTATCTTCACAGTTTTCAGGAATTCGTATGGGGCTGTCTGTCTTTGGAAGACCATTGTTCTGTCTAACCCATTCTGTGTTCCCATTCATGCTCCATGCAACAGCCAGGGCGACCTCGAAACGTAAATGGAGGGACGGGGACTGTAGCTCAATGGCAAAGCGCTTGCCTCTCATGTGTGAGGCACTGGGTTCCATCCTCAGCACCACATAAAAATAAATAAAGATACTGTGTGTCCATCTACAACTAAAAATATATATATTAAAAAAAAAAAAAAAAACCTAAGGGAATCCCATCATTCCTCTGCTGGAACCTGACCCACCTGTCCACAAATCTCCCATGCAATCACCACAGCCCATGAAGCCCTACATGGTGAGACCCATGACCGCTTCTCAGATCTCCTCCCCTAGTCCGGACTCCCCCTCACCCCTCGGCTACAGCCACACCTGGCCTTCTATCCMCCCCCCCCCCCATCATGCCAAGATCATTTTTGCCTCAAGGCAAAAAAATGTGCTTCCTCTACCCAGAACACCCTCCCCAGGGTTTTACGAGGCTGGCTCTTCCTTATGCCCCAGACCTCAGCCTCTCAGAGAAGCCAGCCTAAGCTTCTCACTAGAGCAGCCACTCATCCCTAGTCACCTGCCGTCACATCACCCTGCTTTATTTTCTTCGAGGGACGACCGGTGACTTAATAACCACGACCTGTGATTTTCTTATTTATTCAACCACGCGTTCGTTCTCTTCTTTATTGTTTTACCTGCTGGGTGTCCATCTCCTCCCCCAGGCTGTCAGCATCCTGAGGGCAGAGACTTTGCCCGTGCCGTTCACTGAGCACCTAGAACAGGGCATGGCACCAGGCAGATCCGGGGACCTATTGGCTGAATGAGTGAAAGTTCTTCTTCCCATGGGCCCCTTCACCTGGTGAAGGTCCATTCTGTGTGTCAGATGCAAGGCCTCCCTCTGTCTCATGTGAAGTACCTCTTCAGAGAAGCCTTCTTGGACATGCCAACCCTTCAAGAATGGGGGGGGGGGTGTCTCCCGTTCACCTGCTCACATGGCGCTGTCGTTACCCTTTGAGATCTTATCATCACAGTAGCGGGGTACACTTGGTGTCATTACCACTTAATATCTGGCTTCCCAACTGAGTTGGGGTCCCATGAGGGTAGGGATGGTATCCATCTTGTTCACCTCTAAGTCCCTGAAACCTAGCCGGGTATCTGACGTGAAGAAGGTTTTCCATGGATGGACGGATGGATGGATGGATGAAGCTAACCAAGGTATTGGATGAAAATTCTGCAACCCCCAAACATTCTCACATATTCCTTTACCACCGATCATGAGGAGATGATGAAGCACCTATAGCAAAAAGTTATTTCAAGATGGGGACCCAAAAGAACCCAGACCCTCTGGGTGATCTGTCCCCAAGGCCTCCTCTGAGGCTAGGCTGCCCTCTGCTGGTAGCAATGGAGAAAGGCACTTGAATGAAGGGCTCTTCTTTAGTATCCTCTGAGGTTTTGGAATCTGGTTTAGAAACTCCCTGGGGATGTAGGTCAGTGACAGAGCTCATGCTTAGTATGCCCTTTGATCCCCAGCACCACCACCCAAACAAAACAACAACAAAGTAACACTGAAACAGAAGCTGAACTAATGCGGTTTTGTTTTGTTTGTTCGTTTTTTTATTGCAGTGAGTATTGGGGACGTGAACCCAGTGCCTCAGGACTGCCAGGCAAGCAGCTATACTGCTGACTACACCCCCCCCACCACCACCACCACAGCTAACGCTGTTTAGATCTTATGTCAGGCACTGTTCTAAGCACTTTGTGCTGCACATCCATTTAACCTTCACAAGAACCCACCTGCGGCAGGTATTAGGTACTTACCTGTAGGCACTAGAACAAAGCCCTGAAGTACAGTCAGCCGCTTTTGAACTAGATATTTGACTGATCACTGGGGTAATTTTTGGGCTAGCTCACTTTAAGATAAGGCTCAGGCCTGAATTTCACAAGAGTGATGCAGAGATAACTATTCATATCTCTGCTCCTTAGAAATACCCAAAGCAGACAAGACAATCGAACGCCTGGTGACTAAGAAAGACAGAGGCCAGATCAGCAGGGCTTGTTATTTAGCTCCAGACTCGATTCTAAGTTTATCTTTATTGGCTCGAAAGAAGTCATTTAGCCATTTAAAATAAATACTGGATAACAAATAACAAATATTATGGCTTGCTGTCTATTCGGGTACTGTGCTAATTCTTGACATGTATTCTCACTCAATTATCATTAGCATATATATATATATATATAATTTTTTCTAGCTAGTAACCATATGTGTGTGTGTGTGTGTGGTTTTTTTTCCTAGCTAGTCTACATTAGTTCTTTTTAAAAATTTTGTTCTTTTTAGATATACTTGACAGTAGTGTGTATTTTGACATACTGTACATACGCGGAGTATAACTTATTCTAATTAAGATCCCATTCTTGTGGTTATATATGATATGGAGTCACACTGGTCATGTATTTATTTATGGACATAGGAAAATTATGTCTGATTTATTCTACTGTCTTTCCTATTCCCATCCCCTCTCCTTCCCTTCATTCCCTTTTGTCTAATCCAGTGGACTTCTATTCTTCCCTTTACTCCCCCCTTATTGTGTATTAGTGTCTGCGTTTCAGAGAGAACATTTGGACTTTGGATTTTGGAGATTGGCTTATTTCACTTAGCAGGATAGTCCCCAGATCCATCCACTTACTGGCAAAAGTCATAAAGCCAATCTTTTTTATGGTTGAGTAATATTTCATTGTGTATGAATACCATACTTTCTTTATCCATTCATCTGTTGAAGGGCACCTAGGTTGGCTCCATAGATTAACTATTGTGAATTGAGCTGCTATAAACATTGATGTGGCTGTGTCACTACAGTGTGCTGATTTCTAATCCTTTGGGTATTATATCAAGGAGTGGTATATCCTGGGTCAAATGGTGGTTCCATTCCAAGTTTTCTGAGGAACTGCCATACAGTTTTCCAGAGTGGTTGCACCAATCTGCAGTCCCACCAGCAATGTAGGAGTGTATCTTTTCCCCCACATCCTCATCCATATTTATTATTACTTGTATTCTTGAAAATTGCCATTCTGACTGGATGAGATGAAATCTCAGTGTATTTTTAATTTGCAATTTATTTAATTGCTAGAAATGTGGAACATTTTTTCATATATTTGTTGGCCATTCATATTTCTTCTTCTGTGAAGTGACTTTTCCTTTGCCCATCTATTGATTGAGCCACCCTGGATTCAAGGACACTCAGCCCTCAGTACCTGTGGGGAATCAGTTCCAGGGTTCCCCTCTCCCCAGCCAGGATACCAAGGTTTGCAGATGCTCAAATGGTTTATACAAAATGGCATAGTATTTGCAGAGAACCAACACACATCTTCCCTTATACTTTAATCATCTCTAGATTACTTATCTTACCTAATACAGTGTAAATGCTTTATAAATACTTGTCATACTGTATTGCCTAGGGAATAGGGAAAAAGAGAAAATAAATCTCTACATGTTCAGTACCAGACACAATTTTTTTATCCCAAATATTTTTAATCCAAGGTTGGTTGAATTCCCAGATACGGAACCAACAGATACAAGGGGCCAACTGAGCTACTATTAACTCCTCTTGACCTCTGAAGAAACTAATGCACAAAGGAATTCAGTGATTTGTCCAAAGTCACACAGTTGAAAAGCTAAATAACTGGAGCCCAGCTACTCGATTCTAAACTCCACGTTCTTGATCATTACACTGGACTAATTCCCTTAAAATTATAAAACGAGTCTCACAGTTTAGTTCGTAACTAAGCCAAACTAGGAAAATGACCTTTTTTCACATGACAGGATGAAATGACCTATTAATCACCTGTTACCCATTTTCCATAATTAGATGCAAACTTGACATAAATTTGTGTGAGCTGAACTTTTGGGATAGATTTGCATTCATTACAATACATTTTCTGTTCGGAATCTTATCAACTGTTTAAGGAGCACCGAGGTGTGACCTCTGTGTCTAAAACATATTTTCTATGCATGGATAATTAATATTCAACAAGGAAGGAAAAAAAGAACAACATCCTTATTGTTTATGAATATGACCTCATCTGAGTATGAGTCAGAATGATTTTGGTTGCAAGCAACAGAAAATCCAATTGACTTAGCACGAGAAACATGAGAGAAGTTACTGGTTCTGAGACTGGAAAATTTCAGACAAAAACAACCTTCAAGGTTGGCTTGATCCAGCACATCACAGTAGGCTCTGTCTCTATTTATTTTGGATTCTCTCAGCTCTGTTCACGGTTAGACGTATTCCTGGTTCTCAGATTGACTTCCTTCGTGAGAGGAG